TTCTGGCCTGGCTTTGTTTCTCTGATGTCCTTAGGAGTGAATGCCCAGGCGCTGGCATGAAGCGGGTAAGGTATCACCAGCTTATTTTTAGCTAACAACAGCTGCCCTTGGATGTCTGAGGATTAGAAATTTGGAGGCCAGTATATCAGGTGCTGAGTGATCTTAATTCCGGTTTGGTTTTATTCCTCTTTTAAGCCACTTATTGAGAACCATGGGCCATATTCTCATTCTCAGGGCAGAGAACGATATCGAACCTTCATAGGCTCATGATACATCAAAGCTGAGTGGTGCTCTAATATCTGGCCCAGGAGGTTGTGTCCGTGGAGACCACATGGCGCCTCCCTAAAGATTACAGGATTCCTTGGTTAATAGTGGACACTACTCAGTACTGTCCCCGAGGCTATATTTACCTTGAGCTCCCATAGCATTCTACAGCCTTTTGGGAAGAAGGGTCTTGGTTGTACAAGGGACACAAGTCCAGAGAATAACCCAAGACCCCTAAAAAGGCAGACCTCAGAAATCATCAGCTTTTACCTTGACTCCATACTCCTTAAAAAATGCAATAGACAAAAGCTAACGATAATATCTTGAGAATGGAAGTTATACATTTTCTAAGTAACTCAGTTAGCCAGGAATTCCTGATTTAATAGGCTACAGCTGTTGTAAAGTCAGAAGTGCCTTGAACTTGATGCCAGACGATGTGGGCTCTGCCACTCATGTTAGAAGACTTAGCCCTCTGTACCTTAGTTTTCTCATTTCTAAAAATAGAATAATACCACCTAATGAAAAGTTCAAGTGACATAAAAAAATTTAAAAGCATTATGCAAATCTCAAAATCTATTTCTCTTTTGTCATTGTAAGTTTTCTCTAAAATCTAATTAGCTCATTTAATGCCTTGGTAAGTATTTAATAACACCAGTGTATCACTGAGTCTGGTTTTGAGTATTCTGCTCTTGCTGGACGGCTATCCTAAATATCAAGAAATGCTATAGGGATGGAAAGGATGCCGGATCAGATTAAATGCATACCACTCCCAGGATATAATCTGAAAATTATTTTAATAACAATTGTAATAATGCTCGCCATTAAAAACTAAGTTTTTTCTTGATTAAAAACTGCAAATTATAAAAGTAACCATCTTAACAATACAAAAGTATAGAGAGAAAAAAATCAAGTCTTTTCCTCACCACAAATTCCAACCTCATTCCCTTGATATAA